TTTTTTTTTTTTTTTTTTTTTTCGTGGCTACGTTGGGTTGTTTTTGTTCTGTTGTGCAGGGATATGAATTTCAATCACGAGTATCCCTCCCTACACTACCCCTCTTGGAATAGTGAGCCGAGTCATTGTGCCAGGTACTACACCCACTCGCACCCATACTCTTCCGAGCAGTGTCGGAACCAATTTCTGGTCGAGCAGACGCATGAGTCCAGCAAGTTTAACGAGAAGCTCGACCACATTCTTGATTTTATAGAATCCAAAGCAGCTCGTGAAAAAGAGGCCGCCTACAATGAAAAACTTGATTGGGTTCTCGCTCTTTAGCAATCTCAGGCAGCCCATAGGAGCAATCTTGAGAGCGAGATCGTGAACTTAGTGGAGCGCATTCAAGTTATAGAAAACCGAGTTTTGTTTCCCGAGTCCATCATGCAAGACGAGTTTACATATATGGGTGGACTCCGAGAGGATACCTTGATGAGCGATGAAAAACTCTACCTCATCCTTGCTCGTGTGGCGGCCCAAGTGTTAGAGGTATGCTGTAAAAACGATGTTTTGCAGTTTCTATCAATTCTATTTTGATCTGGCAATCATGTTTCGGTCAATGTACATATGTTTGCAGTTTATTTATTTATGCAATACATACTCCATGTCTTATATTGAGATAGTGTGGTTCGAAGAGTTTCGAACAGAAAGATCACCTATCAGTTCCTTATAAGACTAAACTATTCGTTCACAGTCTAGACTGGCAGTGAGACCCCACTTGGAAAAACACTGTAGTGTATTCCCGATTCAGTTGGTCATTGACTGAAGGATTACATTGTCACTTATGTTAAGTGTTGAACAGGACCGCGGAAGGCAAAGGTTATGAGACTCACTGACCATTGTTGTAACCTCGCCCTTCAGTGATTAATGTGTTCTCTTAAGCTGTAATATAATATAAAATAGGCATATATTTTTATCTCTTATTTATTTGATTTACCAAGTGATTCTTATTCTGTTAGGATGACATACGAGGTATTTTGGTAAGTAAGAATAATTATATGATGTGCTATTGTAGATTATTTACAGTCACTATGTTCCAGTGCGTTGGATTGATGACGTCCCCGAAATGAGCTCAGAAAGGAACCTTATGTTAAACTCTGCAGGTAGACGATTGTCTGACATAATGGTTAAAGGCTGAGTGGTACTAATTTCGGAAATGAATAAGAAATTGATTAATTATTTTGTCAATAATTTCATTAATCAACGGACGTTATATCTTAAACATAGGGAGGTAAATCGATCAATCAGATTAATATTATTTAATCATGGAGGCTCGATTTTATTGGTAAAATAGTGGTTAAATGGGGAGAGTAATATTATTACTCTAGTGGGATGTTTTATTATTTAGTTCCATTAAATAGGAATTAATTTTATTCTATATTAATTAATTAATTAGGAGAATAAAATTCCTACTAGAATCTTCTCTTGGGATTAGGAGACTTGGGAGTCTTCTAGAAGATGAAGATTAGTGGAAAATATATTTCCTACATTATATAATTAATTGGAGTAAAATTATGTTTCCTAAATTAGGAATTAATTTTATTCCATAGTTATTAATTTAATTAGGAAAGATTTTCCTACAAAGATCTTCTTTATTGTTAGGAGACTTAGGAGTCTTCTAGAAGGAGAGGATTAGTAGGAGGTTTCCTTCCTACATTAAGTTAGTATTGGAATAGAATTAGGATTCCTAGGCCTAATGGGATAAGCCCATATTTAGTACCTCCTTAAGGTCCCTAATGGAGCCTATATATATACCATGTCCCAAACTTCTCCTACAAGTTGTGTTGGCCGATTTTCTCATCTACATACGCGTGAGAATTACTTTTTTCGTGAGTTAGGGAGATTCGATTAAAACGCTCCACCAAGTTTAATCGGAATAGGTGTTTAGGTAATCCGTTAGAAGGCTTTTTGGTACAATTGATTGAGCTTTCTAAGAACCATATTGTTTTGTCATCATCATCACCTTGTCGCCGCCGTCCGCAGCCGTCGACAACTGCCGGAAAATCCCATCGCCGCTGGAAGCCGTCCACGCCCGGCCGATCGCAACTGTGAGCAACCGCCCGCGACCGCGTCCAGCCAGGCCCGTCCAGCTCCCAGCAGCGACGCCCAGGACCACCGCACGAAGGCCGACGTCCGTTCGTGCAACCTCACGCCATCGCGACTCGCACCCAGCGTCCCTGTCGCCGATCGCGCATCGCCTGCGCACAAGGAGTTCGCGCACGCCCAGTCCGCGTAGGAGTAGGAGTGCTGCCCCTGCACGCGCGCGCTGTCCCAGCGTCCTTCCGCGTTCGCCTGCATCCTGCGCATCTCGCTCAGCGCCCGACGCGCACACACGCGTCCTGCCAGCACCCGTCCGTGTTCCCAGCGTCCGTTCGCGTGTCTGTCCAGCGCCCGACGCGTCCGACCAACACGCACGCTGTCCGCGCCTAACGCGCACGAGCTGCCTGCTGCACCCGACGACCGAGACCCGCGCACCGTGCGACCGAGGACCGTTTGACGTGTCGATTAGAATCGACTAAAGGACAAACATATCCACCCATTAGGTTGTGGTGTTCAGACAAACTTTACCAACGGTACTCTACATCGTCTCAGAGTCTGCAAAAATTTTATAAGGTAAACGTCCATATCCTTACTATAGATTCCGCTGCGTTAGGATTTATTTCGATAAAGTTCAATACTGTGTATGTTGTTTGACGTTCCTAACAGAACCCAACAACTGGTATCAGAACCCAGGTTTAATGCAAACTCGTGCACAGTTTGAATTTTGGAATTTGCCTGTCTACATGAATTATGTGCGTACGGACGCAGCGGCATAGTAGATTAGAAATTGCAATAACTTTTTGCAGGTATTTCGAATCCGACTATTGTGGCCCGTATGTATGGATTTTAATTCATGTTGAATGTGTGCTGTTTTTAAAGCCTTGTACATGTCAAGGAATTTTTGGGTTGGTGAATGCTTGTAATAAATTATTCGTGCGGTGAGACGCCGCATAGTTTATTGCTTTCATAGAAACTCATGTACGGCTCCTGCGTGGGTCATAGGATGAATTATGTAATTGTTGTTCATTGTTGATCCGGCGGGCGTGGACCAACCTTGACGGGGCGAGGCATAAACACGTACACGGATGCCATGGTGATGATCCAATGGCGACTTTCCCAGAGACGACTAATTCAGTGGGAGTCACTGCGAAAGAAGGAGTTCCAATACCTGAAAACGGAGGACAAATTCGACAAGGACAGGACTGTGTTTTCTCCGTAACATTGGAGATTGATTAATGGCCATGATAGTTGGATTCTAGTTCCTAGTTTATTATTGCTCATTAATCATGCATGTTTTACGTGATTGCTTATGTGCAAATACAAACATGTTAAGAAAATCCCATAAAGTAAAAATTATATTAAGTGTGCAATGGGTTGAAATAAATTACATCCTCCATTATAGGTTTGTCAGTGAAGTGATTTAATTCGAGCCCATAGGACGTTTTATTTCACGGTTCACAAGGACGAATCTCCTTCGGGATGGTTATAGTGAGCTATTTCAAAAGCGTACGGGTCACCCAAAGGTGCACGTATAATTTTGGTAGTAAACTTAGTACCAATTAATGGGTTACGCTTAAAGTGCAAATAATTACGATAGTCCCAAAGGACAAGGTCGTTTTTATTCTTTTATAAAGATTGTTCTTTTAAAAAATTAATTGTGCTGGCCAAAAGATGAAACCGACAATTAGTTGAGTATTGCCGGGCAGTATGTCAAGCTAATGGGATTTATCCCTCCTCTTGCGAATATTTAAACCGTAGACGTCCACACTCAGTGGCCTGCGGGGATTCGGTGTATTGAGATGTCGGTGAATTTATTCAAATGTTGTTTAATGGGATCAATATTTGATGTTTAAATTCGAAACTACTTGACTGAGTAAAGACTATGTTTGCATGATCCCAGGAATTCAAAATGTCTTTCAATCCGTTTTCCGTAATTCTCAAAGAAAACAAACTTGTTGGTCCCAATGATATTGACCGGAAAAGGAACTTGGATATAGTGTTAACTGCTGAAGGGTACAAATTTGCAACTGTTGAGGCTTGTCCAGTTGTGCCTGCTGACAATGCACCAGACCAAGAGAAAGAGGAGTATGCTCGGTGGAAAAAGGCTGACGAGATGGCAAAGTGTTACATCTTGGCATCTTTGTCAAATGTACTTCAACATCAACATCAGTCTTGAACACTGCAGCGGATATGCTACTCAATCTCAAGGAGTTATTTGGTCATCAGTCGCGGGCTTCCCGACAAGAGGCCATGAGGGTTCTGATGAACATGACCATGTGCTACGGCACTCCCGTAAGGGAACATGTTCTTGCTATGATGGCCCAGCTGAATGAGCTGGAGGTTCTTGGGGCTTTTATTGATGGGGAAACCCAGGTCGATATTGTGCTCCAGTCTTTGTCGAAGAGCTTCGAATAATTCCGGTTGAATTACAACATGAATAAGATGTTGATGACTTTTCCAGAACTTGCTGGGGGAACTTCAGTCGGCAGAGGGCCTGTTTCGTCAGAAGACCCAAGCTATGGTGGCCCAGCGGGGAGAAGCTTCCACTTCTAAGGCTCCTAAGGGCAAGAAGAGGAGGAAGTCCGCAGGAAAGGGCAATGCGGTCATAGGTGACGCGCAACCTCGACAAAAGGCAAAGAAGCCGAAAGGCAAGTGCTACAACCGTCAGTACAAAGGACACTGGAAGGCAAACTGCCCTCTTCCTAAGAAACCAAAAAAAGGTAATCCTTTTGCTTTAGTTGTTGAAACATGTTTAGCGGTGTTATCTACCAGTACCTGGTGTGTAGATACGGGAGCCACTGATCATGTCTGCAAGTCATTGCAGGGGTTCCAGGAAACCAAGCGACTTAGGGAATGAGAAGTTACCATCTACTTGGGCGATGCTAGTAGAGCGTCAGCAGTTGCAGTGGGAGACGTCTATTTAGATTTTGGCTTAGATAGATTTCTAGTTTTAAAAGATTGTCTTTATGTTCCCAGTTTTAGAAAGAATTTGATTTCAGTTTCTAAGTTGTTTATGAACGGTTTTTCTGCTATGTTTGATAATAGAGTTATTATTTGTTTTGGCAAAAAGTTCATTTGCTCTGGTTCATTGGTTGACAATCTGTACATTCTAGAATCTAAGTCATCTCCACTGCAACAAAAACAATTACTTAATTCATCATCTAATCTGAATAAGAGAAAGGAACCTTCTAAAATGAAAGAAACATATCTTTGGCATCTAAGACTTGGTCATATTAACCTTAGGAGGATTCAAAGGTTGGTAGCAGACGGGCCCTTGGGGTCGTTAGAAGTCGAGGCTTTTCCAACTTGTGAGTCTTGCCTGGAAGGTAAAATGACTAAGAGGACTTTAAGTTCAAAGGGGCATAGAGCCGAAGATGTGTTAGGGTTAGTTCATTCCGATCTATGTGTTCCTATGAGTATTCAAGCGAGAGGTGGTTTCGAGTACTTCGTTACGTTTATCGATGATTACTCGAGATATGGGTACATTTTCCTTCTGCACCGCAAGTCTGAATGCTTTGAGAAGTTCTTGGAGTATAAGGCAGTTGTGGAGAAGCAGTTAGGAAAAAGTATCAAGTCATTACGATCAGATCGTGGTGGCGAATATCTCTCGAATGAATTTAGGAGCTACTTGACGGATAATGGGATTACGTCCCAGCTTACTGCGCCTGGCACGCCTCAGCAAAATGGCGTAGCAGAACAGAGGAACATGACTCTTATAGAAATGGTTAGGGCAATGACGAGTTATAGTAGTTTACCAGATTCGTTTCGGGGATATGCCCTAGAAACAGCAGTATACATTCTGAATAGAGTACCGTCTAAATTAGTACCGTCTAAACCATTGGAGTTGTGGTCTGGGCATAAGCCTAGTCTAAGACATCTCAAAATTTGGGGTAGCCCAACACATGTGCTGAGAACCGATACTGATAAGTTGGAACCGAGATCGGAAGTAAGGCTGTTTGTGGGATATTATAAGGAAATGAAAGGTGGTCTATTTTATAGTCCCGAGGACCAGAAAGTAATCGTTAGCACGAATGCTAGGTTCTTGGAAGAAGACTATGTCTTAGATCACAAGCCCAGTAGTAGACATGTTCTTGAGGAGTTAAAGGAGTGAGTACTTCAATACCGAGTGCGCTAGATGTTACAACACAAAGTACTGCAACACGTATCGCTGACGTTGCACCTGAGCAGGTAGTACTTTGTCGTAGTGGGAGGGTTGTCCGGCAGCCCGAACGGTTCATGGGTCTGGGAGAGTCTTCTGAGGCCGTCCCAGACGTTCTTGAATCCGACCCATGGACATACAATGAGGCACTCCAAGATCGGGACGCAGAGTCTTGGCAAAAGGCGATGAAATCTGGAATAGAGTTAATGGACACTAATCAGGTCTGGGATCTTGTAGAGCCACCCAGTGGCGTTCGCGCCATTGGATGCAAGTGGGTCTACAAGAGAAAGAGAGGATCAGATGGGAAGGTTGAGACCTTCAAAGCTAGGCTTCTTGCGAAAGGGTACACTCAGAAAGAAGGGATCAGTTATAAGGAAACCTTTTCGCCGGTAGCCATGCTCAAATCCATCAGGATTCTCTTGGCTGTGGCCGCTCATATGGATTATGAGATTTGGCAAATGGATGTTAAGACCGCTTTCCTTAACGGGAATTTGGACGAGGACATCTATATGCAGCAACCAGAAGGATTCATTGCAAAGGGGCAAGAACATCTGGTCTGCAAGCTGCAGAGGTCTATTTATGGGCTAAAGCAGGCTTCGAGGAACTTGGAACATCCGTTTTGACGAGGTTGTCCAATCGTATGGATTTGCCCAATGTCCGGATGAGCACTGTGTGTACAAGAAAAGATGGAAACGTTGTGGTGTTTCTAGTGTTGTACGTGGATGATATTCTTCTCATTGGAAACAATGTGAAGATGTTGTCAGACGTAAAGGTATGGTTATCCAAGCAGTTTGATATGAAGGATTTGGGTGAAGTAGGACATGTTCTCGAAATCAAGGTCATTTGCGACCGAGAGAAGAGAAAGTTTTGCCTATCCCAATCCACATACATAGACACTGTCCTAAAGCGTTTCAACATGCATGATTCCAAGAAAGGGGATTTGCCCTTTCGACATGGAATACCTTTATCTAAGAGGTTGTCCCCAAAGACGCCTCAAGAGATAGAGGACATGAAGGCAGTTCCTTATGCATCGGCAGTAGGAAGCCTCATGTATGCTATGTTGTGCACGAAACTTGATATTTGTTATGCCGTGGGCATGGTAGCAAGATATCAGAGTAATCCAGGACCGGAACATTGGTCTGCGGTAAAGCATATATTGAAGTACCTTCGAAGGACTAAGGAGTACATGTTGGTTTACCAGGCAGATGAGTTGCTTCCGTTGGGTTACACCGATTTTGACTTCCAGGCAGACCGGGACAAAAGCAAGTCAACCTCAGGGTTTGTGTTTACTTTAGGAGG